CCTCCTCCTGCGGATGCATGCCCTTCTCGATGAGCAGCTGGGCCATCCTGAGCTCCTCGATGGCCTCCAGGCTCGCCCCCTCGCCCCGCTGCCGCTCCCACCGCAACCGCCTCTCCACCGCACTGCGCAGCCACTGGTAGCGCTCGACGTGCCTCTCTCTCGAGATCGCCTGCACGGCGGCGCTGGGGTGGGCACCTCCGTCGATGACCCGCTTGATGGCCGCGGTCTCCCTCTGCACCTTGCTGGCGAAGTGCTTCTCGTACAGGGGCGTGCCGTGGGCATCGCTGGTGAAGAATGGACCGGCCTCGTCGTAGATCTCGGAGTTGTGGTTGCTGCCGGCCGGGTGGTTCATGTGTGGCGCCATCAGGAGGGCCGCCCCCAGGGAGCACACCGTATAGATGTCTGCGGTCTTGCTGACGGGGCCGAACAGGGTGAGGGGGGCGCCTCGGTCGTCCGTCGGCTGGTGCTGTCGCGGTTGATGATGGCATCCATCGTGTCGGCGACCTTCTTCAGCGCTTCCGGGTCGCAGTGGGGGGCCGGGACGGGGGCGGGCTTGACGTCAAATTTGGTCTGGGGCAGCGAGGGGAGCGGCTGCTGCGTCTCCGCCTGACGTCTGGCCATCTCGAAGTCGATCCACTGGCTGCACAGCCGGCGGGCGACGGCGTCCCAAACGACCAGAACGTTCTGGCCGTTGGTATCGCCGTGGACCCAGTCAGCCGCGTGCATGGCAGCCAGGGACGACAGCGCTGAGATGACCAGACGTCGATGGGCCTCCGGTGACAGCTGCAGGCGGCGCAGCGTCTGGTGGATGAGCTGCAGACGGCGTCTGGTGGCCTTGGGCGTGGATGGGTTGCGCACCCAGCCGGCGCGGATGTGGAACAAGTCGAGGAGGGTGACCGCCCCGTCCCACACCTCGGCCGGCTGTGGGGGCGACTCGATCTCGCGCTTCTCGTCGGCCTCATCGCCACTGTCGCCGACGTCGGCCTCTTCCTCCTGCGGCGCGTCGGAGAAGAGGAAGTTGATCAGCGGCGACCCCTCGAGGACGCCCATCAGCCGCT